GCTGGCTGGGTGTCCAGGCCCAGAGGGTGGTGGTGAACGGAGCTAAATCCCGTGGGGTTTGTGGTGTTCCTGTTCTGGAGCACTCAGTGAACCTCAGTGGTGGTGCAGTGTGTGCCCTGCTGCCCTCACGTCCCCCAGGAGAGCGTCCAGGCTGTGCGTACAGGAGCCTTTTGGACATTTGCTGTTTTCTGATGGCACAGCAGGGTTTGAGTGGATGCAGTGGCTGGCACCGCACTCTGCAGGGACCACTGCTGTTACAAACAAGGCTACAGAGCAGCTCCTGGGAGGACGCTGCTGTTACAAACAGGGCTACAGAGCAGCTCACGGGAGCAACAGGCTCACCCTTTGTTAGTCCCACCATTGCTGCTGGTGGTTCTGGGTGACAGGGACCGGCCCAGCTGACAGTCGAGGTGTGGACAAACACTGTCCATGATGGTTGTCAATATTAGTGATTTTAAAAAGCTGAGATGATCTTGTTTGAAGGTGTGATTACCAATGTGTTACGGATGGGCATCAGTTGGTGTATGGGTCGGTAGACTCAAACTTTAATGGTCAAGATGAGTGTGCTAATTTTGTCTTATGTCTCTCCCTAGCTAAGAAGTACAAAAAGGTTACGGGGAAAGAAATCTACTCAGACACTTTAGAAAGCACGCCCATGCTGGAAAAGGAGAAGTTTCCCCAGGATTATTTCCCTGAGGTAGGTACGGTCCCGTGGAGTGTTCCCAAATACCAGGTTTGAGCTGATTTGCTCTGATTGCTTGCGCAGCTGCTCTCAGTGGTGTGAATAAGGCCAGAGCCAAGTCCTGGGTTTGTGTGTGTTTGTGGGTTTCTTGTCACCTATAATGTGTGTTTTAAGTCCTCATGTGGATTTACCAGATTCAGATGAGGCTCTTTGTGTAGTGGGACGCCCTTGTGAAGGATGTGACAGTGATGAAATGATTTGTTTGTGCCTTTAACGCCAGAGGAGCTGCACCACCACAAGTCTGCAGGGAGAGCAGCTCCATGGCAGGACAGGGGCTGCTCTGGGGGGTTCCAGTCCCAGTTCAGCACCAACAGCTCCACGTGGGGCTCAGCGGGGCTGGTTCCTGTCCTGCACAGCCAGGGGTGGGTGCACGGGCAGGGGAAAGGGCAGTTTTGTATGGGTGCAAGAGCTCAGAAACATTGATGTGCTCCTCTGATGCTGCCCTTGGGCTCCGTTTTTGGGGTGCCTGTAAGAGGTGGCGAGTGCTGCATGGGTGAAGGGGAAGGTGATGGGGAAGGTGGTGGTGATGGTGAAGGGGAAGGTGATGGGGAAGGTGGTGGTGATGGTGAAGGGGAAGGTGATGGTGATGGTGATGATGAAGGTGATGGTGAAGGTGATGGTGAAGGTGAAGATGAATGTGGTGATGGTGAAGGTGAAGGTCTTGTCAAACCCAGGCAGGGCTGAGGGTTTTCATGCACTGCACCCACACACACAGTCTCTGGCTGCAGTTCCCTCCTTGACGTTTACTTTAATTTGTTCATTTTTAATTTCTTAAGGACATCTAGACTGTGGGTGTTTAATGGTCAGTGTTTACAAGCCAAGTGAATAAATGCACTGAATTCCTACAGCATGTGTGGATCAAACAGGCGTGTTGCTACTTTAATATAAGAAGAACTGAATAAACTTGGAAAAGCAATGTAGAATTTGTAAATATACACATGTAGAGATACTTTGATAGTGCATGTGTGCTTGGAAGAGCTTTGTGTAAATAATTACAGGGTTGATGGGATGTAGGTTATTCCTTTTCTTGGCTTTGATAGTCGATTATTTGTTTTTGTATTCTCTCTCTCAGTACTGGCAGGGAAACTGCCTGTGACATTGACAGTGCTGGCTGTCACCTCCTGTGAATAAATACCTGCAGTACTTCTGTGAAGTTCAGCGTTCCATCACGCTGAAGGAACTCCAGGCAGTTGCTCAGATATTCATTTTCCTCCCCATCCGCACTGCTCTGTTGCCGTGCAGTGACTGACGCCGTTCAGCACCGTTTATTGCCGCCCGTTACAGGAACGATTCCCATGGAGAAGCTGTTCAGTCCAGCAGGTTCCCAGGGTTTTGTGTCTGTTGCTCATGGGTGCTCTCCCTTGGTCCCACGGCTGTTTTTGGAGGAATGGCATCTGTATCCAGTGCTCCCTGCAGCGCTGCCTCAGGTCCAGACCCAGGAACCAACCGAATGAGTTGTGGGGCGCTGACACCATCAGTGCCCATTCATTGCTGCCCCAGTGCAGTCAGGGATACTGACCTGGAGGAGGAGTAAGTAGGAAGAGAGAAAACCCACAGACACAGTCAAGACCAGCAAAACCATGAAAACCCTTGAGGGTTTATTTCTGTCCCTGCACGCAGCACAGCCCCACGCAGTGGTGTTTGGGCAGGGCTGGGGGATGACCCCGCAGTGGTGTTTTGGCAGGGCTGGGGAATGACCCCATGTCACGGTGTTTTGGCAGGGCTGGGGGATGACCCCGCAGTGGTGTTTTGGCAGGGCTGGGGGATGACCCTGCAGTGGTGTTTTGGCAGGGCTGGGGGATGACCCCGCGGTGGTGTTTTGGCAGGGCTGGGGAATGACCCCATGTCACGGTGTTTTGGCAGGGCTGGGGGATGACCCCGCAGTGGTGTTTTGGCAGGGCTGGGGAATGACCCCATGTCACGGTGTTTTGGCAGGGCTGGGGGATGACCCCGCGGTGGTGTTCTGGCAGGGCTGGGGAATGACCCCATGTCGCGGTGTTTTGGCAGGGCTGGGGGATGACCCCGCGGTGGTGTTTTGGCAGGGGGATGCACCCCTTTGGTTCCAGGTTGCAGAGGAAGGGACGTGGGCTCCCAGGACCGCAGCCGTGCAGATGACAGCCGCACCCGTGTTCATATTCCCGTATTCACCGCCGTGACCCCCTTGCTCATTGCTGTGTAGCCCAGCGTGGAGCAGGCCAGCGGGTTTCCCATTGCCTGGAACGTTGGAAATGGTCGTGGTGGTTTTGCTCCGTGCTGGTTTTCGTTCTGCACTGAACCCCAAATTGTGTCTCAAGCACAAAATAGCACAGCAACATCAAAAAACCTACGGTGACGTGGTTTTGGTTCTCACGTTTCTGTTTTTAAAGCTAACGTTTCGTTATCACTTGTTTTCTTCCTGGACAAGTGTTGGTAATAACGGTGCTAATTAAAACACCACAGAATGACATCTATTTTGAAAGCCAGAGGTGTCACAGCACAGTACCTGCACACATCACGTCTACACTGCCGTGCGTTTTAGCCAGACTTCTCTATCGCGTTCGCACTGTTTTGTCTGAGAAGTGGTTTAAGACTGATTTCTTTTCTTTTTATTACTGCTGCTTAGGGATGATCTAAAAGTAATTACAATGATTGAGGCATAACGCAATTCAAAATAATTACGGCCCACTGCATATAAAACTAACAAAACTTTCTGTCTTGATTTATGGCTGCTCTTGGCCGGGCGCGAGGCTCAAATGGTGCCTCGGGGAGCCACACTCCAGATAATGTTAGGCCATTTAAAAAAAGCAGATTTGTGTAGTCTATCAGGCCTGAGTAATTTTTTTTCCCCGTAGTGAGAAATTGGTTGTTATCATAGATCACAGATACTGCTCCGAGCTCTTATGAAAGATGAATTAATTTCACTAATGCTTTAATGCAAACCTTTCACGGAGGAGGCTGTATGGTGATAACCTCACCGCGGTCTCTCCTTTCTCAATGATGATTTATGTTGTCTTTTAGTAGATGAAACTGCCCGTGTTCACAATCCATCTGCTGGCTAAGGGAATCCTATTAACAGCGGGTCCGAGGAGAGACTTCACCCGGGGAGGTGGAAGATGCGGTGTCCCCTTCCCGGGACGTGGAGTGGGGTTTTTTCCTGTTTTAAAGTGCAGGTTCCCCTTTGCTGACCTGTGCCACCTCTGCCCGGGTTGATGCTGCCGTACAGGCGGTGGAGCAGCCGGTGCCTGTGTGTTAAAGCCAGAATAAAGACGGGTGCTTTCGAATTGCAATGAGGAACAATTCCCAACAACTCCTCTTTCCCCAGCTGTATTTCTCCTTGAAATCCTGTTCCCAAAAGTTCCTTCTTCCCAAATACTGTGTTTGGAAATACTGGAGCACAGCAGCGATCCCAAACACGTGTGTATCCGCGGTGAAGGGTGGCGTTTCTGTACCCCAGCTGTTAAACGCTGCCTGTGTTACCCCAAAGCCTGCGGACGCTTGAACTCCTCACGCTGAACAGGCAAGTTATCAGTAAGTTAATTACTGAAGGTAAAGGAATTAGGTAAACGTGTTCAGGTTACAGGTATCTAGGGGTGACTCGCAGGTTGGAATACACAGGTTACACAGTAAAACCAGTGCTGTTTCGCGGTACGGTGGCGTTCCCCTTCGAGGGCCGCAGCACCCCCAGCCCTGGCGCTGCTCCTGTGTTTTGGGACACCTCGCGCTGGCCGTCCTGCGTCCTCGACCAAAATTGGTCTCTGCCAAAAGTCGCACCATTGCTGGCTTCTAAAATAACCCCATGGAATAAATTCTGCATGGCTGCTGGTTGCTGCTGGCCTGGTGCTGGGGACAGGGAGAAGCAGCAGCGGTTTGCACCACGTAGTTGTCTGTGAAAATAAGCAGAGCCAGTGTGGGTTTCATCCCCTGTTTCTTAGGTTTGCTTTCCTCGTGCACAGATACTTGCCTGTGGTCACCCAACAGCTGCGTTCTTACTGAATTCTTGGTACTGTGTTTTCCGGTAAATAAAGGGTCACGGGAGCACTCTGCGGAAAAGCCAATTACCAGCTGAATTATTACACTGTGTCATTAGGCAGATTGACTTCATATTCCCAAGCTCTCACCATACATTTTTTTGATGGGCGCCATGGATGTTTTCCTGTGCAGACTTTTGAATTTGTGTAATGACTTTTAAAGATCTTTAGCAGTACCGATGTGACCCATGGGGCCCTTACAGGGTCTGGTGGTGCTCTAGGGCTGGTGAGGGGGGTCCCTGTCCCTGGGGGTTGGACTGGGGAGCTTTGAGGTCCCTGACCCCAGACCAGGCCGTGACTGTGTTACTGTGCGTTGTGCTGAAACACAGGGAAATTGGGAAACTGCTTGGAGCAAGTTGTGCACAAACTTCTAAAGCACAAGAGCATCAATTCTTGATTCTGTAACCGATCTAAGGAGAGGCAGGAGGTTGTTTTGGGGCAGTTCCACGTGGTTTTACAGGAAGGTGTCCTAATTCAGGCACTTTTTCCAGGCCGGTTGAGCACCAAGCGTGGTGTGAGGGGTGAAATACAACCTCTGGTGCGAGGAGGAGTTGCTCTCACCATGGTGGTGCTGAGCATGGCTCCACGGGCAGCGTTTCCCATCTCTCAGGGCCGTGGTGCTCCTTTAAGGAGCTGCAATTACGGCGCCGTCACTGCCACTTGAAGACGACTTTCCTTCCTGGCCCCGCTTTGTATGGGTGAATAAACCCTTGCTGGGTCAGTCTTTAATTTGATATGGTCCCTCTCGGTAAAATGATGGAGAAAAGATGAATTAAGGCTCTGCGGTAGTCATTATCAATCATGGTTTGTGTGCATTACTTATTGCTCACAGTGCTTTTTGACATTAGCCCTCTCTAACCTCTCTCTCCATGTTAATGTTGTCTGGAGGTCCTTTTACCCGGTGTAGCAGGGGTTATTTATGTAGGTGGTGTTTCCAGGGGCTTTTAAAAGGTCAGCACCACCTCCTGAGAGACTCTATTCACAAAGAAAAGGCTGGCAAAATGTAACTGCGCGTTCTCAAATTGTGATTATTTTTATTTATTTCTTAAGGATTTCTATTAGGTGTCAGAATTCCAGTTACACTTAGTAATGTCAATTTTGGCAACGTAGCCTCTAATGCACGCTACTGCCCTTGAACCCGGTGTTTGCAGTGTGTGTGTGAGGAAACACCAGGCTCCTGTAAGCAATGCTGTATTCCATGTCATGGAATATTACTTGTGGTGCAAATGCTGTTTAATTACCGTGTGTCAGCCTAGACTGGCATAGCACAGCACAGCACGGCGGCAGAGCCAGCGCTGGGCACATGCGGTGCCGGTGCTGTTGGTTTGGGAGGTCGCTGGTGGCAGAATTGGGGTGACAGCCCCATGGAGAGGTGGGTGATGGCTCCATGGAGAGGTGGGTGATGGCTCCATGGAGAGGTGGGTGATGCCCCATGGAGAGGTGGGTGATGCCCCATGGAGGGGTGGGTGATGCCCCATGGAGAGGTGGGTGATGCCCCATAGAGGGGTGGGTGATGCCCCATGGAGGGGTGGGTGAGGCTCCATGGAGAGGTGGGTGATGCCCCATGGAGAGGTGGGTGATGCCCCATGGAGGGGTGGGATGCTCTGGGCAGTGGGGTCTCCTTGGCCTGGTTTAGTGCTGCGTCTTTTTAAGTCCTGTTGTGTGGCCAAAGGAAAATGGCAGTGAGAAAGGACAGCTCGATTGAAGGCCTTGTCTTGGGCTGCATCGCCGGCTTGGACTGAGATTTTAAATTCTGTGTTTTGTTCTTCAGTAATTAAAAGTTCAATGTAGTTATTTTTAAGAATGAAATGACAGAGCTCCCCTTTTCTTTGATTGGGATTAGATTTCAGCCAGTTTTGAATGCTTTTAGCATTTAACTTCTTTCATTGTTTTGCTTTTGGATAAACGTTGACATTTTGCCGAATCTCGACTTGTAACGGCACTGCCGTGGTCATCAGGAGCTGTGAGCAGAGGAGCCCGTGCTGGGTTCAGCCGTTCCCTGCTCAGACTTGGGCTAATCCTGTTGGTTTGGTTGGTTGTGCGTCCTGTGAGTGCAGACAGGAGTCGAGAGGAGACACAGCCTGTCCAAAGCACGTGTTTTGGTTCAGTGCCAAAGGACTTCGCTGTTGGTCGCTGTTCTTGGGCCCCTTGGTCTTTCGAGGAGCAGCAGTGGGGCAGCGAGGGCCCCCCTGCAGAAAGAGGGTTCTGAAATCGCCACCTGAAGTGAGAAATGGTAAAAAGAGGCTCACGAAAACCTGCCGTGCGTAACTGCGCGTGTTTTGTAGACAGTGTCTTGGTTCTTAGTTTTGTAGGAGGTAGGTAAGGCTTTTTCACAGAATCACAGGATGTCAGGAGTTGGAAGGGACCTGGAAAGCTCCCCCACCAACCCCTGCCAGAGCAGGATCACCAGAGCAGTCACACAGGAACACGGCCAGGGCTTTGGGTGTCTCCACACAAGGAGACTCCACAACCTCTCTGGGCAGCCTGGGCCATGCTCTGTCAGGTTTTCCACACAGTTCCAAGCTCTGGAGTGGATGAAATCAGCTGTATTTACAATAACTTCGCACCTTTTCCTGGGTTTGCACAGGACAACTGCGGATCAGTTCTCACATTCAAGCTTTCAAGAATAAGCTGTTATTTATTCAGTAAATGAACATAGTAAAGTCTTCACTAGTGTATTTTGAGCACCAGGAGAGCCCCACTGTGCAGGGGTCCCGGGACAGGCTGGTGGTGGGGTTCGGCTGCTCGGGGCCATGGGTACCCCCTTGGTGCAGGGGCAGGAGGCGGGTGCTGGAGGTGGGGTCAGGACGTGGCCCACGGGGTTTTGGGGGCACTGGGCTGTCTGCAGCGGTCGGGACGCTGCCCCCCATGAGGTCTGTTGGGGTGAGTGGACGCATCCCGCAGTCGAAGCAGAGCCCCAGGGGAGCGGTGCCGCAGGGGTGCTCTGCAGTGGGGACACCCGGTTCATGGTGAGAGCTGCAGGCCCTGGTGCAGAATCACGGCACCATCCCCTGTTGGCGCAGGGTTCGTTACCAGAGGACCCCGGCCGAGCCTTCAGCCATCGTTAACAGCGAATACCTGGGGTGCAGAGCCGTGGCTTTCCGTGGGAGGCTGTGATTTACGGCGGTGGTGAGGAGCAGTGCTGAAAAATCCCTTTGCTGTACCAGAAGGGCCGGACGCTGGCACGGGCTGATTTGTGGCTTTCTCACAAACACTGCAGTTTTGATAAATGTAATGTTTCGCCATTAGTTAAATTCCCCTTAACTTTTACAGAAATACTGGGTGGGTTGGCTCAGCGGGAGAAATAGCTTTCCAGCAGGCCTCATTCATTTTAATTTGATGTAAATCTCTGATGACATTTTACAGTTCAGGTACAATTACAGAGAAGCCAAGACATCGGTGCATGGGCAGGAAGAATTGGCTGGTTTAGACTAAGAGTAAATGCAGTTGTGAAGCGTTCCGAATTGGTTATCTGCCATCTAGAAACGACTACCAGGGCTTATATTAACTTTACACATAGTTTATAGCTGCTGCAGAATCAAAAATACAAATAATTCAGGATTTATGAGAGACACAATGTGTGTTTGCGGGGTAGCTCAGTGTCGTGCTTGACAGTGACGGCGTATGGATGAACTCGGTTTGTTTTGTCTCTAAGTGCATTTCACTACAAGATAACCCTTCACTGACAGTGACCCATTCTTCTCTGCTTGTTTTTCAGTGCAAGTGGTCCCGGAAAGGTTTCATTCGAACCAGATGGTGTATTACTGATTGGTACGTCGCATCTTTCAGTTATTTCTGGTTATGTGTGTGTCTTTGCTAACGACTGTTTCAGAGCCTGTGCTCACGTGTGTGGATGGGTCTGTTTGTTGAACGGTTCGGTTCCTGAGCAGTTGCTTTGCTCTGTTATTTGTTGGGCACATAACACTCATAGGTTGTAGTGACACATGACGAAACGTGCTGTTAATACTCATGTGCGCGGTTGGCACGGGATGACTCCAGCCATGAGCAAGCCCTGCCTTTGGGGAATGCAGCAGTTTCAAGCCAGTTCACAGAATCCCAGGACGTGAGGAGTTGGAAGGGACCTGGAAAGCTCCCCCAGTGCAACCCCTGCCAGAGCAGGATCACCAGAGCAGTCACACAGGATGATTCCTACCACGGTGCTGTTACTGGAGCAGAACTGTTAATTCCTGGTGTTAAATCGGGTTCCCATGTTAAGGCCTGGGTGAGGAGCAGGCAGCGGTGACCACCAGAGCTGCCCTTTGTGTGGTACCACACTCCAGGGCGCTGGCTTTGGGACAGGCAGTGCCGAAGGGGCTGACGAGGTGGATCCCATAACTGGAGCTGTTTGTGTTTGAAAATGCTGCATTTAATGACAATGACAGTAGTGGTTGTTGAGAAGGGCAGCCCATTCTGCCTTTCTTCCCATGTCACGGCTTTTCCAGGCTCTGTCTCTCCTCTCCTCTTGGATCTCCTCTTTGCAGAAAGAAATCACAGGGATTTATTTTTAGGCCTTTCCAAGACAAAAATGCTCTTTGGAGGTAGACTCAAAGTTAGTGTTTCCCTGCAGGGTGATACTAAAAAGGATCGTTCTTGGGAGGAGCAGTCTGTGAGCGATGTTCAGCTCAGACCGTTTGCTGTGTTTGTGTAATCATTATCACCAGTGCTTGTGGAGCCTACCCAAAATGTATTTTTTTTAAACGCTAACCAAAACTGTGGCCTCAGAGTGAAGTTCAACAGGGTTTTTTAGCACACAGCGGAGCTAAGCCCAGTTGGCATTTACCCCTTGGGGTTATTCCCTCTGGGGTGCAGTGCCCACGGCTGATGGGGTTGCTAACGCAACGGGGAAACCTTTCCTCCCTGCACTGGTAGGGGCTGCCCAGGGCAGTGGTGAGGTCACCGTCCCGGGGTTCAACAGATGGAGATGAGGGGCTGGGGCTGGGGTGGGCAGTGCTGGGTTTGCAGTTGGACTCCATGGCCTTGAAGGCCTTTCCCAACCCAACCCTTGTGTGGCTCCAACCAAAACACGGCTCCAACCCAACCCCTCTGTGGCTCTGTGATCCAAGTTACGCAGCCCATGTCCTCCCAGTGGAAGCGGTGTCTGGGCTGAGCACCGGTGCCTTGGTGTCTCCACACAGGGAGGTGTGGGGTGCCGGGGTTTACCCTGCAGTGTCAGTAAAATGCTCCTGTTGGTAGTGTTTCACTCTGTTTCTCGCAAAGCCAGGCTTGTAGCAGGTGCTCAGCTGCAGCTTTATACACTGGGAGCTGTTTGCTTACACATTCCTTTTTGTTTGAAAAATATTTTAGTGAGAGGGCACTGCTGGATCTCTGAATTGTGGCTGACAAATAGCTTTCTGTTTTCGCATTGTGCGTGTTTTGAGCAAAAGCCTAGGTGCAGCCTTACCCGTAGATGAGTTGCCATAAGTTTGATGGTGGCCTTTGACGGTTTTCTGATGACAATCACTTAATTGGCACAGTCTGTGTAAGTGAGTATTAAGGTAATGTAAGAGATAATACAGTGTTATTAAATTGAATCCTTTGCTGATGCAACAAATGTTTTTCTTTTGTCCTGAATAATTTTATTATTTCCTTTTTCTGTCGTAGTGCCTTTGACTTGGTAAACATTCATCTTTTCCACGATGCTTCCAATTTAATTGCTTGGGAAACAAGCCCATCGGTTTACTCAGGAATACGGCATAAGGCTCTTGGCTATGTACTTGATAGGTACGTATTGGTCTTTCCAGCCTCTCTCCATCTTTGTGTCCGTGAGCAGCGTCTGAAAGATGTTCCAAAAAGCACATGTGGAAAGGGGGAGGGTTTTGTTCTGTGAGCTGAAAATGGTCACTGATACTGGAGTTTTCTACACAGTGCTGATTACAGATCAGTCTATGACACTTATTCTTTCAAGCTAAATTACTGAGATTGGAGATTCTGAAGTCACCAGAACTTGCTGCGCAGAAAGCAGGTTTATAATTTAAATGTTTAAATTTAAGAGCAGGTTTGCTGTTTAAATGTGTGTGTTAGTTAGCTCCTTTTCAGTCTGCATGGAGTCTGACAAAGCTGTCATTGCAGTGTGTTGTTGGTCACGGCACCACCGAGTGATTCCAGGTGGAAAGGACCCCTGGGCACCTCTCGCCCACCCTGCCCAGAGCAGCCCTGAGCTCCCTGGGCTGTTGAGGGCTGACCCAGCCGAATCTGACCATCCCCACACACAGAGGTGTGCGGCGTCCCCGAGCTGCCCGTACAGCGCTGGGCTGCCCTGGCCGTGGAACCTTTTCTCCATGGTACCAGTCAGGATTTCCCTCAGAGCAGCCATGCCCATGGCCCCTCGGCTCCTGGTGGGCATTGCTGAGGAGAGCCTGGCTTCGTGCTTTCTGTAACTACCAAACAGATAAAGCCAAAATGCTCCCGTAGCCGTCTTTTCTGTAAGCTGAACCAGTCCAGCTCCCACAGCCTCTGCTCCCAAGTCCCAAGCTGCAGCCTCTCCATGTTAAACCCTGCAGTTTTAGTCCCACACCAGCCAGGTGCAGCAGGCAGGTGATGCTGTTACAGCAGCAACACAGCGTTTGTGTGCGGTCGTCGCTGTTGTAATAACATCACAGTTTATAACGGTGTCACGGAGCTGAATCGTCTGACGGGTGGTACAGTACAGAGGATGGTCCCCAGAACACTCAGTGATTTACAGTAGCTGCCCTGATAAGCAGTTATAAAGTCAGACAAAGATATTTTTCTAGAGTAAGAAAAAGCTATTTCTGCACGGGCATATGTGTGTTGATAAAGTAAAGGGGTGTTTTTGTGTGAGGTGCTGCTGGACTCCGTGTTTCCTGAGCAGCGGAGTTCTGAAGGGCCTCCTCAAAGCAGCCATGGCCTGCACTGCGACCTGCAGCCTGAAATGTGGTTAAAACAAGCGGCTGAGGCTGGGCAATGAGAGCAGAGCACTTTGTGCTGCTGTCGTGCCCCATCCCGGGTGTCCTGCACCGTGGTGGTGCCATGGCACCGTGGGTGCCAGGCTGAGCCCTGCACCAAGGCCCGGGTGGGCACGGGGCAGCCACTGCCCTCCCCACGGCAAAGCTGGGGCCGGCGCCTGGCCGTGTGGGGTGTCCTGGCCCCACGGCGGCGCTGACCCCGTCCCAGCACGCAGCACAGGCCGTGGTGGGAGCCATCTCGGTGGCCAGGGCTGAGGGGGAACCGTGCTGGGGCCCTGGGGAGTCGCAGGACCTGGGCCTTGGTCAGGGGCTGAGGCTGGGAGGACTGGGTTTGGGGCCTTTGCTCGCACCCTTCCCTGTCGTGGCAGATGCTGTGAGGGTTCCCCTCGCACCAGTGCCGGTTCACCCCTGTGGGTCTCTCCGGCTCCTGAACCAAATTAAGTTACAGACTGAAAAACAGCTTTGCATATGCGGTGGTGTCATTTTTCCCTATGTAGTTTTTCTCTGAAAAAGGTCCTGAAATGTGGAATGCTGTGTAAATACATTTTCAGTCATGTTCTGCACAAAGTTGTATTTATTTCTCTAAGTTTTATCTTATTTAAAGACAGAGACTTTAGCAAAAGAGGCCGCTTTTTCCACTATGAATTAAGAAGTGCTTTTCCTGTGCACCCCAGCAGAGGGCTGAGTAGGAATTTCTCCAAAATAGTTTATTTTCACTTTTGGGAGTGATACAAAGATAAAGAGGAAAAATCCACTATGTGCTCTTGTATCGCTTGTCAGACCTGTTGGACAGTCAGAAAACACGGGGGGCTCTGGAAGGTTTGCAGATAGGCAGGCAGCAAGCAGTGGCTTATGAAAGCTCCCTTATTTAGGGCACAGAGACGCCGTGAGATCGGGATGAGCTCCTGGAGCAGTTTGAGACGCGGATTTTTGGGTTCTGTTACAGAGCACTGTGGGAAAGGCCTGGGTTCATTTCATTTTTCCTTGGCTCCGTTGGTCTCCTCTCCCTTTCTTATGCGTTGCACGAGGGAGCTGGAGCAGGCCCGCGTAACCCTGTTGCATTATTTATTGCGCGCTTGTTTACAGCGTGCGGTGTGCTTCATTAGCTAATTTTGGCTTTGGACCTCCCACGACGGCCTGGCAGGGTAAGGTAACACGACTGCAGCATTAGTGTCAGCCGCGGGTCAGGGATGTCAGGACGGTATATCATTAAAATGTGACACTGCCAAAACCTGCCCCGGCTCCGCCGTCCTCAGAAAAGAAGCCCCGCGGTTTCGGGTGCGCGGCGCTGCGAGGGCATTCAGCCCGACGGCTCATTCTGAGCGCGCAGCCAGCCGCAGATCCGGACCTCCGCGGCGCAGCGCTGGGCTGGCGGGCACAAAGGGGCAGTTCTGTAGGAGCAGTGAATAATGGGGACCCCCTTTCACCGCTCCTAACCTTTTGGCAGCCACCAGCAAACTCTATTCTGAGGCGCTGATTGGGGAGGACAATACACTGGGGCTGCTCTGAATGAGTGCTGCCACCAACAGTGTCCCCATTCAGCGGCTTTTGGGAACCATCTTTGGCCATTGTCTGCGCCACTCCGCAGACAGCAGGAAAAGGGAAAGGGAGAGCGGCTCCAGGGGAAAAGTGCTTCTTTTCTTGGCTTTAATCTCTCTTTAAAGCTTCATAGATCTACATTTCCAGCTGAGCTACTGGAACTATGCAGTGGCAGATAAATACAGCGGAGAGAGGCTTCAAGCTGAGCTTTTAAATCCCCTTATCTGCATGAACTAATAATGCAGATTTAGTGCTGTTAAAAACAGAGGCTGATAAGTCTTTTCCTTTAAAGCCTTTAAACTGCTAAAGAGCGTTTAACAGCGCTGCAGTTCAAACGTGGGGAACAATGCTGGGAAGGAAAACAGTTTAATGAGCAAAACCTTCCCGAATGCAGCAGAAACATCTTCTCACAGCGGTGTGGGTCACGGTGGGCATCGGGACGGCCCTGTGTCACTGCATCCTCAGACCTGGACAGGGACAGCTCTGTCCCACTGCATCTCACAGACCTGGACTGGGACAGCTCTGTCCCACTGCATCCCGCAGACCTGGACTGGGACAGCTCTGTTCCACTGCATCCTCAGACCTGGACTGGGACAGCTCTGTCCCACAGCATCTTCAGACTTGGACAGGGACAGCTCTGTCCCACTGCATCCTCAGACCTGGACAGGGACAGCTCTGTTCCACTGCACCCCCACAGACAGGGACAGCCTGAGCACCTACAGTCAGACCCGTCACCATCACCAGAGTCTGAGACACAGGAAAAAGTTCGCAAATAAAGCTCAAACGAACTGATTTAACTGCTAAGATCATCAGAGAAGTTGGTTTTCCCACAGTTATTTTAACTACCAGGTTTAAACACAGACACAGATTGTGCAGCATCTCTGAATTACTGAGAAGGGAAAAAACGTTTTTGGGGGAAGAAATCAAAGGAAAAAGTGTCAAGTGAATGATTTAAAGTTGCCACTAGAAGTTTTTTCCTGAGGGAATCAGTTAATAATCGTAACAGGCTTTGGGAGTAGAGGTGTTTACTCTCACAATGGTGTTCTGAAGGGATTTAGCTTTAATAATGTTAAAAATTAATTCCATGATGGGAAGAATGCTTTTAAAGACATGGAGCTGGTAGTGCTGGGCCAGGTGGGTTTTGCATTTGCCGTACGATGGAAATGTGGTGTAGGACAGATTCTTTAAAGACTAAGGGAGTAGGAATTACACTGGTGTGAGGCAGATATTGCTTGTATATTTACAAATACATGTACAGTGTATATGTAGAACATTGGCAGTGAGTCTTATCAACGCTAATGTAAACCCAGACTGAACCCCCACAGGTCAACTGCGTTGTTCCAGAGAGACGCAGATTCAGTCAAAACTGCATTTGCTTTATAAATGAGAATACGAGCACCTGCTTTATATTTTGTGGGGCAGTAGAATTCTTCCAGAGCCATTTTGGATAATTCCCATGTAGAGTTAGCCCTGTTTGTGTAACACTTGCATTTTCTGAGATTGGAGGGTTTAAGCCGTAAATGAGAGAAAGGAAATGTAGTTCACATTTTAGTCTTTCATCCGTCTGCTGTACTTAATGTCTGCGCGTATATCATGTTAATTAATGACGTTGGTCTGTTAGTCCTGCCCCCTAAACGCTTGCTGGGGAAAGCACCGGCCGGATTCAAGGAGCAGGGGCTGCGGGACGGGGTCCTCCGCCGGTGCCCGCGGTTTGGGAGGCCGGGGCGCGAGGCGTTGTCCCCGCACTCCTCCGGGTGCCAGCCCGAAAACTTCCTCAGCTCTCCAGCATTCGGAGCCCTAAAATGAATGTGGTTTTCTGCAGAACGTGACAGTGCTCTTCTGTTTCCCTATTGAAGCCTTCCCCGGCCTAGTTCAACAGAAACATTTTTACATTACAACTGTGAAATCTTGGCATAAAGCTCCCCTTTGTGCCCTTCATTATTTTCTCACAAATATAGTCCATTGTCACATAGCTGAAGTTAATTTGATCAACATTGGGACATTTAACTTTTATGTCCGGTCAAAGGAGCTGTTTCATGCTCATTTTGGGTATTCAAAAGAAATGATTGCCAGAAAAATAATGTTACTATTAACAATTCAGAGCAATTAGTTTCCCAGGGAGAGGCGATGTGATGCACCGGCTCCACACAGCTCCTCTTTGTCACTTTATGGATGCTCATCAGTCAACTGTCACCTCCTCTCAAAGACCCCTCCAATCTAAATGTTTCTCTTTGGGCTTTTCCCAGCACCGGCAGCTGA